GCATTCTTTGTAAGTGGGCAAACCTGCAAAATCAGCAAGGGGTCAAATACTTATTTCCCCCACTGTATATATACATATTATTGCACAGAGTTGTTACAAAAGAAACATCAATGAATATTGCAATATTGAGTTGATTGCAAAAAGAAACAATTGAGTTGAAGATAAAGCTAAACTAAGGTGCGTGTATTGTCCATGTCCATGGGGGGAGGTTTTAGTGTGTGGGGAAGGACGTAGCTCCTCCCACAGCTGAATACGCTCATTAAAAGAGCCTCTCCTCGTATGTTCTCTTCACCCGATCGCCACAGGCTCCACCAAACTTCCTCCGAGCTGCCGCCTTGGCCGAGTACAAAAAGCCGGTGGTGGTGATGCCCAGTGAAGACCGCGAGGAGGAGGAGGAAGTGGAGCCCCAGCCGGAGTTCAGAGAGGCACCTCAGATGCCACAGGTGCGCCTAAAATCAAATGGAACGGTCCCTTTTGAGTGTGAGCCCTGCTTACAGTAAGATCTTTCTCCTGGCAGTACTATTTGCTCAGCCAAATGGGAGTTCCTGAAGCCCCTCTGGAGCAGAGAGACACCGAGAATGTGAATTTGAAGAGGGAACTCGAGGTGTTGAAACCAGAGCTGCAGCTCATCAAGAGTGAGGTGAGGCGTGACTTTCTTTCTCTGCTGTAATCTAACCAGATTTTTCACAGAAAAACAAATAGCAAAGCTGCTCCCTCAAGCAGCCGGAGCTAATCATCCAGATTCTGGTAGATTTCTGAGCTTCGTCGCCCATCAATGCGACTCCATTCTGTCAAATTTTAAAAGAAATTCTCCAAACATCCGTGCTAGAATTGTGTTTTTCTGGAGTTTAAAGCCTTGAATCTCCTCTTTCCCAGGCTCAGAGGTGTGTGACCGAGTTAAAGGCTCAAGTGAACCGCCTGGAAGCGGAGGTGGACGAGCAGCGCACCCACAAGCAGGTGGCCATGGTGGAAAATGAGCACCTGAAGATGGAGGTGGAGGCTTTGCGCAGCACCAACGTGGCCAACGTCGGCGCCCAGATCGGATTTAAGGAGGCCGACAGTGAGTCTGTGGGTTTTTCTGTGCCAGTGAAAACACCCAAACAAAGGCAGATAAACAGCACTAAGTGTGTTTTTATTCTCCCTCCGTGCAGGCAGAGCTCAGGCTGCAGAGATCAGATTCAGTCAACTCAAAGAGAGACACGCAGAGCTGGTTACCAGCCACGCGGATCTAATGAAGAAGGCAAGTCTCACCCAAAACACTCAGTTTGGTCTGAATTTGAATGAAAGTAAGATGGAAATTGTGGCTTTTAGGAGTTAAGAGGTTTTAATTCACAGGTTTGCCAAAAATGTGAGTCAGATCTTTAACAGAACATCTCATTTTGAGAAACGGATTAGTTTAGTTGTCAAAACTACATTGTCCATCATAGTCCGACCAATTTGAATTTATCTTATAAGTATCTTGAAAAAATCCACCTCTTAACTGGAACCAGCAAACGTTATCAAAAAGCCTCAGTTTTAGCATCTCTCCACTGACGTTCCGTCCATTATTAGAGCCAAGATTTAATTTGAGTTTTTGAGGTTTTGAATTGGCTGATGCCTTTAAAATTGTGTGATCTTTTGCATCAGTGTAAACATCAGGTAGAGTGATCAGATCGTCCAGTCAGAGGGTCCTTTCAGTCCTCTGGTTCAGACTCAAACTAGGGATGACTTTGTACAGGTTTGATCCAGAAAATGGGACCAACTACTGACATACAAGAGCATCTCAAACTGCTGATACTTGTAAAACTCTTGGCATCATAATATATGGCTACACGTTATTTTTGTGTTTTTGGAGTGTTTGTCTGGGCTGAATTGACGTGTGAAGCACTTTAGTGAACTTTGGCCATTTTTCAAATGCTCAAATTCCTTTGACTTTGGGTTTTCGTGTTGTGGTGCAGAACTCGGAGACGGTGAAGAGTTTGACTAACTCAAAACTGCATCAGGACGACCTGCTGAGAGCCAAGCAGCAGCTGCAGAACGAGCTGGAGAATCTGCGGCAGGAGCAGAGGAACACGGTGAGCCCTCTGCAGGAAAACGACCCCCCGAGTTTCCCCTTCTCCACTGTGCTCACTCCTCTCTTCCCCCTCCTCCAATCAGATGAACCTCCAGCAGCATGAGGCCGACCGGCTGAACAGAGAGCTCCTGGAGCAAAGGGCGGAACTGGCTCTGCTCCGCAGCACTCTGGACAGCAAAGAGAAGGTAAAACCACACCTAAAGGACAAGAAGAGGCAAAAAGGGCCTGTGTTTTTTCAGGTTTCAATCTGTCTGGGGGGAGGGATCATGGTATTTTTATTTATTTATTTGATTTATTTATTTATTTATTTATTTATTTATTTAATCAGGACAGTGCACATTAATGAACAATCTCATACAGATTGTAAATGAGCCAGATTATAGCATAGTTGCTAGTTTACATCTGTCGTCCTGAGGCAGGAAGACCAAACAACACAAAATCACAAAATACAAAATCAGTCCAAACACACGTTTAGACAATGACATTACAAAATTAAAATGAATTCAATTCAATTCAATTTTATTTATATAGCGCCACATCACAACAACAGTTGTCTCACAGCGCTTTTCCAAACAGAGCAGGTCAGACCTACTCTGAAGTTAACTACAGAAACCCAACAATTCCCACCATGAGCAAGCACTAGGCAACACAGGCAAGGAAAAACTTCCTCTTAACAGGCAGAAACCTCGAGCAGAACCATGGCTCAGGGTGGGCGGCCAAATGTATCATATCTGATACACACGGTTTCTGAGGTCTTTTGGATCTGAGACTTTTTGCATCATTCAATGGTAAAAGCTGGTAAATGGTAAAAGGCAGAGGAAGCTAATCACCAGAATATGTCTGCAGGAGGGGTCCCAGGCGAGCAGCAGCCTGGCGGCTCTGCAGGCGGAGCGGGAAGTCCTGCTGCGCTCGGCCAGGGAGCAGGAGGCGGAGCTTTCCTCCCTCAGGCAGCAGGCCCAGCAGCAGCAGAGCTCCCTGGACCTGGAGCGGGACCGGATGGGCCGGGAGCTGGAGGCGCTGCGGGCACAGCTGCAGCAGCAGGTACCAGCGGAGGACGGATCCACCACGGGTCCAAACGGGGGAGCCGAGCTTTGGTGGGAGGGATCAGACGGGCTATGTGGGGAGATATCCACTCAAGAGTGACTTTTGGCTTCACATAAAACAAGAGACCCAACCAAGACTAACCAAAGGAATTAAATGTTTGTTGGCCATTTAGTCTCGTCTAAAAAACTAAAAAGGAAAGAGACGGACTCTTCTTGCAGCTTTGATTCTTTTCCGAATTAACACATTTAGTTCTAGTTAAATATTCGTTAATGATGGGATTTTGATGGAACTTTTAAATTAAAATATCTGGATATCTGAAGGCTTTATTTCCTCTTTAGAGCACTTATAGTTGTTTGTTCTCTCCCCTGAGAATAAAGTCCTCCATCCTCCACCATTTGTTACTGGCTTCATCAGCTTTTTGATGAACACTTCAGAAGCAATTCATAAACTAAAGTGTCTGAATTGATCTGATCTAGAGTTTTATTATCCTAATGAGAAAATCTCAAAGCATCCACACAAGATCAAAGGCCAAAAGTCCAAAAATGAAGTGCCAAAAATCGTGTTTCTGCCTGATCTTCTTGGTTTAATCTTCGCTCCTCATTCAACCGTACCAAATGTCCCATTTTGTGAACGCCTTCTTTCCC